TTGAATTGTTCAAGTTGCACCCTCTGATATTTTTTGTAATTCAAAAACTGTTAAAGTTCATTAAATTACATTTTTTTCTTAATCGAGTTTGTTTTGTATAAATAAATCCAACTCAATTCTTAAACACTTCAAATCCAACTAGAAATTGAAAATCAATTTTGGTTCTCCTACATCTACTGTAACTATCAACGCACCAAAATCAGCGTCAATCCGGCAAGTACAAGGTAAATGGGACGGGAACCACGAGGAAAGTAGCAACGAAGTTATGAGTATGGTAATTTATAATGACCCTTCTAACTGGTCGGCTTAACGGAGTAAATCAAAACTTTAGTTATTGAGAAAGGTCCTGCAAATACGTCAGATACATTTTTGTTTTCAATCGATCATATGGGAAGAAAATTCTCATCCAAACATTTTTATTGTGGCTTATTTATTCTGAGTCACAGGACAAGATTTATTGTTTCTGTTATAAATTATTTAATGCGATAAATACTAAATTTATAACAGGTTATAATGACTGGAAGAATGTTTTTTTTAATACATATTTTAAAAACTCTCGTGTCGATTTTGGCGATATTAAGTATCCTATAGTACGTTTAAAAATATGAATTATATGTTTTTTCTTATTTGCCTCTGACCATCCCCTGCAATGTTATGGGATATATGATAGATAACCCCTTTCCCTAAGAATAATGTGATAAACTGTTACAGTTTTGAACAATATTTTCAAAAAAACCATAAATTAGTTGCAAATTAAGATTTATGCAGTAAAATAAACCCTATACGACATGACATTTGGGGGTGGCTGGGGTTAACTACCCTAACCACCCCAAAAATTAATTTTTTTGCGAAAATTATTTGTCAATTTTGATGCAATTTACCACGTCTAAAAAGACACAGGTTCATTATATTAGTAAAGACATACAAAATGAACTAGTATGTTTATTGGTACAAATGACAAAAGAAAATTATAGAAATGGCAAACAAAGCCGATTTTTTTTCTATAATTAGGGATACAAGTCCCGATATCAGCCACAAAGAACAACTACATTAATAGTTCGATTTGTTAACACCGAATCAAAGAATACGTATTTGGTGGAAGAACATTTTATTGATTTTATTGAAGTAACTGACACTACAGGAGTCGGTCTGGCATCTATATTTTTAGACATAATAAAAGTACTAGGTTTAGACTAGTGGTGGAACGGATATCCGGCAACTATCCGGCCGGATAGTTGCCGGCTTTGGCAGGATATTAAAAACCTATTACTTAATACTCCACCATTCACAGGAATTAGTATCTCTTTTAGGTTTTATACACTGCAGATAATAATCAAGTTCAACCCCAATAGGACTTTTTTCATTGAATACAACTTTATTTATATCAGGTTTGTCATTAGCAACCTCATTGTAACAATCCCAATACGATATATAAAATCTCTTGTTGCAGTTTCGTCTAGTTTTCTTCTCTTCGCTTGTAATTCATCATCACATTCATTACTAACAGAACTGTCGCTGTTATCACTTTCGATTATTAATTAAAGTATCCTCTTTTTAATGCAAAAAGCCGTTTTGAAAAATCACTTTTAGTTCTTGAGAAATAAATTTTTGAAATGATCGACAATTTTTTCGAATTTTGCAATTCTTGTCGATTAAGTTTTAAAAATTCGTATAAAATCCAGTTCTTGGAATATGAGCATGAAAATCTCCTAAAGTGTTAACAAAAGTGTCTTCTTTTCAATGAACCAGACCGTTTTGAAATATAGCTTTTAGTTTCTGAGAAAACAATATTTGAAGTTTTGATAAAATTTTCGATATTGCAATTTTCATCGATAACTTTCAAAATTCGCTATAAAATTTATTTCTTGAAGGATCTTTGTGGAAATATCACCAATTATTAATTATAGTATCCTCCTTTTAATGCAAAAAGCCGTTTTGAAAAATCACTTTCAGTTCTTGAGAAATAAATTTTTGAAACGAACGACATTTTTTCGAATTTTGTAATTTTCGCCGAAAAAGTTTTGAAAATTCGTATAAAATCGATTTCTTGGAATATGAGTATGAACATTTCCCAAAATGTTAATAAAAATGTCTTATTTAAAATGAACCAACCCGTTTTGAAAAATAGCTTTTAGTTTTTGAGAATACAATATTTGAAGTTTTGATAAAATTTTCGATGTTGCTATTTTCATCAATAACTTTCAAACTTCGCTATAAAATTGATTTCTTGAAGGATCCTTGTGGAAATATCACCAATTATTAATTAAAGTATCCTCTTTTTAGAGTTGCTTCGTTCGTTAAATCAGTATCAAAAAAGTTCATTTTGTATCTTAGATCCAAATAAGTTGACATATCTTATCAGCTTTCTTATTAATTTAATTTTTATTCAAATACCACAATAATGTGAGAATATAGGGTATCACTTCAGAAATGCACGAGAAATTATAACAATAATGGCCGGATAGATATGCCGGATATCTAGCCGAAGGGGATGCCGAATATCTGATATCCGGCTTTTCGCAAAATCACTATCCGATCCATCACTAGTTTTTTAGACATTTATAAATATAGAGTTTCAAGTATAAATCAGAGAGCGTTATTTGTTCCTTGCTCCTGTCACTCTATTGATCTTGTTTTAAATGATACTGCAGAATCAAATATAGAAATGGTAATCTTTTCTCCTGCATCCATTTATAAATGGTCTATTCTTGTCAAACATCTGGCTAATTTAATATTAAAATCTGCATGTTCTACGAGATGGGAAAGTAGAATAAATGCGATCAGGCCCGTTAGATTTCAACTTAAAGAGATTTACGATGCATTTTTTGATATTGTAGAAGACACGACTTTGCTGGGTTCTCATGGAAATAAAATTAAAGTAGAAGCATGTTAAATTATCAGTTCATATGCATTACAATAATTTGGTATAATGTTTGAACTACAAAGTTCAAAGTTTATGTAGCAGCTGACACGATTGAACAGGTTGCAAATTAGTTAAAAAAAACTAAGAAGTTACGAAGAGTATCAAAAATTGTTAGTACAACCAAACTTTACAGAAATCACATTAAGACGTCCAAAACGAAATTTATATATTTCAAACTTATATGTTCAAAACTTATATGTAAGTAAAAATATTAAAGAAACGGTTAAAATATTGTCAATGTTTACATCCAATAATACATATGTAAGAAGCAAAACCTGGTCAGGGTCTCGGGATATAAGTGAACTATACAGTTCGTGTAAACATTACTAAAACATTACTAAACATTACATTACTCAGTTTATTATCTCAATTTCTATTAAAATAATCAATATTGATTGTGTAATCCATTTTACCAGTATTATATTAAATGTAAACGAAGAAAAATATAAATTAATTGAATTTTGTACTTTTCTACTGGTTTATTTTTAAATTCGGCTTGACAAGTTTCGACTTACGTCATCCTCAGAAGCGCTACAATAGGTTATTGAGTATGTAATATTAATTGATGTTACAAATTAAAAATTAAAAGATAAACTTACTCGTTAATTTTCCAAGCAGAAGTTCTTGCTATAAACTTCTGCTCCGTTTTGAAGCTACAGAAAGGTGCATCCATAAACATTTTCACAGACAGTCGGGCCGTCTTAAAGGCAATTCAGGCCTATACGTGTGACACCGCGCTGATTAGAGAGTGTACCAGCAACCTGAGAGAACTCGCTAGGGGTAATGATATTACCCTATGGTGGGTTCCAGGTCACAGCAACATTAAGGGCAATTAGAAAGCGGACAAGGTGGCCAAAGAGGCAGCGAACACGCCCTTCATTCGCCCCCACCTTGGCTGTGGACTACAAAAAAAGCCACCTAACACAAATAATCAACAATTGGGAGGTCTCAAAGGTAGCCTTACGCTGGAAAGAACTTCCAGGTCACAGACAAGCGAAGAGTATGATAACTCCGTCGCAAAACAAAACCAAAGAGGCAGAATCCTACAGCTTAACAGTTAGTGTTTGTTTAATTATTTTTTTTCTCATAAATTATTAAATTTTAGAAGAACATCAGAGAGACAAAAAAGTTTTAGAATAGTTTAATCTATCTAACTGAAGTTTTTCCAATGTATTTATCACCTTCATAATAAAAATCTAGGCATAAATAGAACGGGGGTGGTTATGTTTTGTAGTTTAGAAGGATAGGTTGAAAGTACAAATAGGGTCAAAACGTGCCTTATTATGAGTTAAACATATTCCCCAAATTTCATTTTCTCAGCGTTTATGGTTTTTGAGAAAAAAAAATTAAACCAAAATTTTCCAAAATTATTTGGTTCATATATTAAAGTACCCTTAAAATTGCTTAAAGAATCACCCCTGAAGTTTGGGCACATCATTCAGATACACCTGTATATGAGTGTTTATATAAAACATACTCTTAATGAGAAACGAGAAGAATTAATGAATGTAACTGATTTTATGTTTCATAAAGCTATTCTTAAAATTAGAACTCAGTCAATTAAACTATTAAAATTAAAATACGTAACAGTGTATGGTGAACAACTAGATCTCATATAATTAAAAAGTGTGAATTCATTTAGAAATTTGTCAAAATAATAATTTTGATCATTAAGACATTCGAGTTGTGTGTTTTCTATAAAACAGGAAGAGCTCTTAAAACTAGAATTAGAGAACACATAATTAAATCCAACTCTAATTTTGGCAATCACTTAACCTTACATAATCACAATTTTGACATCCACAATAATGTAACATTAACAGAAGAAAGGGTACAAACTGGAGCTTCTTGAAAGCTATGAAATAGACAAATTTATAATTTGTTTGTTAATCAATTGCGAATAGTAAGATTTCAATAAAAGGAGTTTAGTGCCTTAACATGGTGGTGAAAATGAAAAATAGGAAAGCGTTTTATATTGTTGTAAATAACGAGATCTTTTAGTAGTTATTTATTTTAATTATTTATGTGAATAAAGCTTTTTTTATGTACAAGTACCAACATTAATAAAATTGAATTGTTCAAGTTGCACCCCTCTAATATTTTTTGTACTTCCAAAACTGTTAAGTTCATTAAATTACATATTTTTCTTAATCGAGTTTGTTTTGCCTAAATAAATCCAACTCAATTCTTAAAAACAAAAAGAATTAATATAGTTATCCTCGATTATAATTCATCCTTTTCATGATGATTTTCCGCCAAACATTTACACTTTTTATTTTCTTCATTCACTTCAACGATTTCCATATCATCCAAATCCTCCACTTTTTCCACTAGGAGTTTCGAAAATTCATTTAAAAGTTGCGTGTAATAACAAAAAACGTTTGAAGGTAATAAATTTTCAACCGCAAATTTTTGACCTTCCAATCCAATCTTTCTTGCTTCATCATCGTTGTTTATAGCCCATTCAATTTTTTCAACTAAATCTGATAGATCTTCTTCGATACTAACGTAATGGATGTTTGGTTTTAATTCGTTATAAAAATGTTCATAGTACATTGATTTTTGTTTGAAAACTAACGAACCCCCGCCTAATAAATAAGGGGATCGATACGCAGATACAGTTCCATCAATCAATAATTGATATTTATACTAAAATTAAATTAAAAATTAAATGAATTATGAAAAAAAAATTTTAATTTACATCGAAAAATTTGTAGAAAGAAATATATTCTTGTTTTCCATAATATTCTTCTTGATCTCGAAAGAAAAAGAAATTTGTTAAAGAAACATTGAATAAATCCGGATGATTTCTAGAGATATCTATCAACTTTAATCGATTTTTATTTGAATCGCGACCCCTCCAAAACATTTTTGGGCTCCTCTCATCCCACTTTAAATTAACGTTTCCTTGTACTGATAACATATCTAAAGTTACCCTAAAAACATTATTTTAACCTCATTTTATTTAATTTTTAATTTATTATTACCGCCCCAAATTTTCTAAAGTAGATTCTGTTAAATCATAGGTTGGCATAACAATATCAAAAGAATTTTTGCTTCCACACCATGAAAAAATTGGAAATTTCTTTGCTTCTGAAGTTAAAGGCCAATCACCCAAGTTTACAAAAAATTCTAAATCAGGTAATTTGACTTTTTTCACCAAGGAAGTTAAAATACTATCAGAAAACATTTTAAATCCGGTGTATTTTCCATAACATTTCCGTTTAATAACGTTATTTTTAATTAAGTAATGGCACAAACTTATTGCACCTGGACTATCAAAGGTTTTTATCAATTTATTTCTTAACCGAGACCATTTTATCTCTGAAAATTCAGCTAAATCTTTAACAATTCGAGTTGGGACGTTCCCACATTGAAAATTATTTAAAAATTTATCAATAGAAATAGGGCAATTACATTCTTCTGAAAGAACTTTATTAAAAATATAAGGAGATTCCCCGATGTGGTAATTTTTATAGGTTAAGATTATTTTTAGTGTATCACAGTACTCATATTGTTTATATCTGAATATAAACACCCCATCCTTCCTATTTAATATATTAGATCTCAATTTACACGGTTTATTACTCGATAATCCATTGATTTCAAATTGAAAACTATCTGCATCACCAGCACTAAAAATTAAGAAAATAATTAAAGAAAATATTAAAAGGATCATCTAAATACTTGAGAATATCTTACTTTGTTAGATTAGCTTCTATAAAAACATATCTTGTTGGTAAAACAACATTTTCTGGATCTAAACCTGGCCCCCAAACCTTTATTTCACTAATATTCAATGAAAACACTGGGTAATTGAAGAGTATTGAAGTTAAAATGAGTATAAATACGGTAAACATTAT